AGATGATGGTTTAAGGCATTACTGAGGATGATGGTTTTAGGTATTACTGAGGGTATTTAAGGTATTACTGAGGGTGATGGTTTGAAGTATTACTGAGGGTGATTGGTTTAAGGCATAACTGAGGATGATGGTTTAAGGTATAACTGAGGGTGATGGTTTAAGGTATTACTGAGGGTGATGGTTTAAGGTATTACTGAGGGTGATGGTTTAAGGTATTACTGAGGATGATGGTTTAAGGTATTACTGAGGATGATGGTTTAAGGTATTACTGAGGATGATGGTTTAAGGTATTACTGAGGATGATGGTTTAAGGTATTACTGAGGATGATGGTTTAAGGTGTTACTGAGGATGATGGTTTAAGGTATTACTGAGGGTGATGGTTTAAGGTATTACTGAGGGTGATGGTTTAAGGTATTACTGAGGATGATGGTTTAAGGTATTACTGAGGATGATGGTTTAAGGTATTACTGAGGATGATGGTTTTAGGTATTACTGAGGATGATGGTTTAAGGTGTTACTGAGGATGATGGTTTAAGGTGTTACTGAGGATGATGGTTTAAGGTGTTACTGAGGATGATGGTTTAAGGTATTACTGAGGATGATGGTTTAAGGTATAACTGAGGATGATGGTTTAAGGTATTACTGAGGATGATGGTTTAAGGTATTACTGAGGATGATGGTTTAAGGTATTACTGAGGATGATGGTTTAAGGTATTACTGAGGATGATGGTTTAAGGTGTTACTGAGGATGATGGTTTAAGGTGTTACTGAGGATGATGGTTTAAGGTGTTACTGAGGATGATGGTTTAAGGTATTACTGAGGATGATGGTTTAAGGTATTACTGAGGATGATGGTTTAAGGTATTACTGAGGGTGATGGTTTTAAGGTATTACTGAGGATGATGGTTTAAGGTATTACTGAGGATGATGGTTTAAGGTGTTACTGAGGATGATGGTTTAAGGTATTACTGAGGATGATGGTTTAAGGTATTACTGAGGATGATGGTTTAAGGTATTACTGAGGATGATGGTTTAAGGTATTACTGAGGATGATGGTTTAAGGTATTACTGAGGATGATGGTTTAAACGAATCTAAACCAACCTTAACCTAACCTACACTAACTGAATTTCATATCGTTATAATATTAAGTAGAAGTAAAAAAAAAACTAACCTTTTCCTCATCCTGGTGAGACTCGAACCCGGGATCCTGTTAGTATAAAGGGAGAGGCGCTGTACCATAACGCCACCAGGTATCGCTCCACGCGTCTTATTTTTGGGTTTGAGGACAAGGGTCATTCGTCTTTCCGGGATTCGAATCTGGGGACTAGCAAACTCAGTCGTGTCCTTTGCCCATTACGCCATGTTGATGTTAGAATGAGATCACGTGAAGATTAAGCACCTGACATAATTTTCACTTAATAATTAAACACATTAACTCAACCTAGGTGGTTAGGTTAAATTTGACTAGGTTAAGTGTTGAATCATCGTAGGTATTTAAGCTCTTATTATGAAGAGTTAAGAGATGGATAAGAGAGTAGTGGTCATGTTGTTCCTGGTCAGAGGTTAAAGGTTAGAAAGTCGGTTATTGATGACAAATGACCTATGACTGAGAATAATAGGTCAAGGTGGAGAGATTATATTGCTGAAGTATTTTATGGTGGATCATAGGTAAATGATTACTTAATCCTTATTAGATGTTGTCGTTTATAAAAGTGTTAGTTTAGAAGTTATACCAAAAGTGAAAGGTGTACCAGGTTGTCTTATTTATCATTTCCATCATTATCACCACTCCATCATCATCGTCGTTGCCGCCGCCGCCATCACCACCACCACCACCATCATCGTCAACATTGGCAAGTGAAACTGTCCTTCCCCGCCCCGCCCCAGACAGGTAACAATAGCCGGACTGATAAGACTAGATAAGAACTAAGATAATTTGGACAGTACAATTCAGCTTTCCTGTGTTATAGTCTAGGTGGGGGTCCACACCCTACTACTATGCTGTCACTCGGAATCGAGTGTGACGACCACCCAGCTATGATACAATGATATGAGTTATAAGGGATGTCACCTAGGTTGATGAGTTTTGAGGTGACTAAAGAGCCGATGCGGGACCGGCAGAGTCGTTCACAGATGTTGCACATGTGGAGGGCTACATCTAGTGCGGGAGGGACGGCAGCGGCAGCGTTTTTCCGACATTGGCGCTTGTCTGCCTCAGTTTGCAGTCGGGCTAACTAGAAAGTATTGACACTCGTGTGGTGGTCCTCCACATGACATAATGCTGCCACACTAGACGCATTAGACCACCCTGTGCCAACACACAGTACTGCTGGTGTTAATAGAGGGACAGATAAGATAAATAAAATTTTTTACTTAGATATAAAGATAAATATTGACAGCAGGTGTATGTAATAAGGCGTCCGGTAAAGATTAGAACATACTGATAGGCGACGCAGATAACAGCTCAAAATTATAATTTATAGTAAGTTCATATTACATACAGTAGATATACGTAATACAAAAAAATAGGCGGTATATTATAGTATTGAGTATATATATATATATAACTTGGGTTGATGTTAATGTTGGGTAGAATATTTGTACTAAGTTGAATGTTGTTTATAATACTTAAGACATGTCTAAGGTCCATTAGTTTTAAGATATGTTAAATGTCCTCAGACACACGTACAGTACAGGCCAACATTTCTTATACCAGGTTGTTTTTTTTTAAATTAGAAGACATTTATTGTATTCACTCTTGTTATATTGTTGACTTTTGTTGGAAGTGAGTGAGGCTGGAACTGTTGTTTACTGTGTGTCATGACCTTGACCTGACTTGACCTCGCCACGGAACACTCTTAACTCATGCTCTTGTTTTAGTGAATATGTAAAGTTTCATTCAACTTTTATTCAGTAGTGTTTTGAAATATATATGTGGAGTGGTTAGAACACACACACACACACACACACACACACACACACACACACACACGCACACATACACCCAGTTGCCAGATCTTCTACCATTGGCTTGGCTAAATATACAGGACAAGTCATTAGGTATCCCAAGAGACGCATAAACCTGAGAGCTGCAACATAATAGTGTGCGTGTGTGCGTGTGTGTGTGTGTGTGTGTGTGTGTGTGTAATGACCAACACATCCTTCACAACACCCGTCCATTGTCGCTTCACTATCAAATAAATATTCATTAAACTAAATTGTTTCACTATCATTAGATTAAGTATTATTGATTCATAGTTAATGGTGGTATCATTATTATTTGCCGTAGTAGTGTTTTATTATCATTTATTAAAGGTGAATAGATAAAACTTAATTATTTTTATCCCGTCGTAATTTTATTTATTTATTTATTTTTCTAATGTGATCAGTACTTGGGTTGTACTCTTTATCGACTAGCTATTTATTTCTTGCTCCAGATGAAGATATTCTGTTCGGGTCCAGTTGGGTTAGGTTAGGTTAGGGGGTGGGAGGTTAGGGCGCTAGGCTAGGGGCTAGGTGGAGGTTAGGGTGGGGTGGGGCAGTTAGGTGGGGTGGGGTGGGGTGAGGTTAGGTTTAGGGTGGAGGTGAGGTGGGCAGGTTAGGGTTAGGTGGGGCTGGGTGAGGTGAGGTTAGGTGGGGTGTGGGGGAGGCAGTTAGGTGGGGTGGGGTGAGGTGAGTTAGGTTGGGGCTGGGTGAGGTGAGGGAGGTGAGGTGAGGTTAGGTTGGCTAAGGGTGAGGTGAGGTGAGGAGGTGGAGGGTTAGGGTTGGGTTGGGTGGGGTGGAGGTGAGGTGAGGTTAGGTTAGGTGGGTGGGGTGAGGTGAGGTTAAGTGGGACAGCAAGAAGACATTGACCCGGACAGTGTTGTTGTGGTCGCTTGTGTTTAGGTTGGCAGTGTGCCGGTGGAGAGCTCGGCCCGCTATCCCTTGTCTCCCACACTTACACCATAATTATGAAGCCTTTGAGTGATGGGGTATTGATGTGTCTACCGTCCAGGGAACATTATGGCTCCGGTAATGTTGATTCTCGCTTATTGTGTGTGTGTGTGTGTGTGTGTGTGTGTGTGTTTATCGACCCTATTAAACTACTGTATGGGTCGTTTAGATATACTGCTTCGATGGGGTGAGTTTGATACACGTACAGTACAGGTTTTGATTGAGTTTATTTCCTGGCCTTCAACTACTATATTATGTCATTACAGGTCGAGGTGTTGTTATGGTGTTTCATGAGGGTTATTTTGTAGTTAGGTTAGAATTGGTTTGGTTAGGTTAGGTTAGAATTGGTTAGGTTTGGTTAGGTTAGGTTAGAATTGGTTTGGTTTGGTTAGAATTGGTTTGGTTAGGTTAGGATTGGTTTGGTTAGGTTAGGTTAGGTTTGGTTAGGTTAGGTTAGTATTGGTTAGGTTGAAGAATTGGTTGAAGTTAGGGTTGAACTGGTTGGGTTGAAGTAGAATTGGCTGGTTAGGCTAGAAATTGGTTTGCTAGGTTAGGTTGCTAGAATTGGTTAGATTAGGTTAGAACTTTGGCTGGTTAGGTTAGAATTGGTTTTGGTTAGGGTTAGCATTGGTTAGGTTAGAATTGCTTGGTTAGGGTTAGACTGGTTGTTGCTAGAATTGGTTAGGTTAGGTTAGAATTGGTTAGGTTTGGTTAGGTTAGGTTAGAATTGGTTTGGTTTGGTTAGAATTGGTTTGGTTAGGTTAGGATTGGTTTGGTTAGGTTAGGTTAGGTTTGGTTAGGTTAGGTTAGAATTGGTTTGGTTAGGTTAGGTTAGAATTGGTTTGGTTAGGTTAGAATTGGTTTGGTTAGGTTAGAATTGGTTAGGTTAGGTTTGTGGTTATTTACGGTAACAGGAGACTTGACCGCCACATCATGCGAGCCATAACCAAAACAAAAATGAACTTCCAATAGAATTTCAAGATCGTAAAAATAAAGTTTGGGTGATTTTTGTTTTTCATGGCATAAATGTGGCGCCATCTTTGTTGTGAGTGAGAGTTGAACTTGATGGCTGACCCGCACACCGCCCTGCCGTCTACCCGCACACCGCCCTCACTGGTTCACCCGCATACCGCCCCACTGTCTACCCGTATACCGCCCTACCGTTCACCCGCACACCGCCCCTACCGTCTACTCCGCACACCGCCCCGGTACCGGGTTCACCTGCACACCGCCCACCAGTTCACCCGCACACCGCCCCACCGGTTCACTCCAGCACACCGCCCCACTGTCTACCCGCACACCGCCCCACCGTCTACCCGCACACCGTCTCTACCGTCACCCGCACACCGCCCTACCGTTCACTCCGCACACCGCCCTACCGCTCCACCCGCACACCGCCCTACTGCTCCACTCCGCACACCGCCCTACTGTTCACCCGCACACCGCTCCTACCGTCTACCCGCACACCGCCCTACTGGTCTACCCGCACACCGCCCTACCGTTCACCCGCACACCGCTCTACCGCTCCACACCGTCTCTGCAATTTCCGGGTTCAACGGCACAATCGCCCCACTGTTCACCCGCACACCGCCCCTACCGTACACCGCCTCACCGTTCACCCTGCACACTGCCCTACCGTCTACCTGCCGTGCACGCCGCCCTCACTGTCTACCTGCTCACCGTCTACCCGCACGCCGCCTCACCGTCTACCCGCACGCCGCCTCACCGTCTACCCGCACACCGCCTACCCGTCCAATCTCTAATGACAGAGAAAATGATTCCAGAAACTTCTGCTGATACCAAGACAAAAATACATACAGTACATGTGATTTTCTTAACTGGGGACTTGAATATTAATATACAGTCGGTATTCCTGGTGTAAACGTATAAGCTATTGAACCTTATGATCATAGTCCCAGATAGTGCTATAATACGCCTGGTGTCTTTACTCAGATGGTTGAAGTTCCTCGGGTTTTGTGATTGTGGGTTGTACCTTATGAGTGAAGAAGCCAAGATAGTGCTATAATATGGTTTTTGATCTCGATGGTCGGTATTCGTGGTATTGTTTCTGGTGTGATGGGTCTTATGAACGTGGCCCAGATAGTGCTATACCACACCTGGTTAATTTACTACCCTGTTATAGTTGACCCTTACTTACCTCCACCTGAGCCTCATTAACTCTTAACAGCCTTTGAACTTTTGTTAATTAGTTTGGCATCACCTGAAGATTATCACCTCTATTTAACCTAAAGATTAACCAGCCTGACGCTACCTGGGGGTTAGGTTAACTTAGAATAGGTTGTTATGGTAGGTTAGGTCAAGTTAAAATAGCTTAGGGTTGGTTAGGGTCAGGGTGGTTAGGTTAGGTTAGGTTAGATCAGGTCAGATCAGGTCAAGTTAAAATAGCTTACTGTAGGTTAACATCAGTGTGGTTAATAATAAGGTGAAATAAGGTTTAGGGCACATTTTCAGGTGATTTCTCTACCTTAACTACTTAAGACTTTACACCAATTAGGAGTTAAAATTGAAGAAAAAATCCCCAAAGATTGTCTACCTGAAGTTAAACCCACGTAGTTGAAAATGATATTCTAATTTTTATATTTTTTTTTTACTATATCGACTAATTAATTGAGGTTGTGTAGTTAAGATTGTTGTTATAGAGTTGAGGTAATTGCATTAGTTGTTTTACCTTTAAGTCAGTTAATGAAGAACGTCCTTACACCTGAGACTCTGCCTGGATCCTGAGTACTACTGTGTGTGTGTGTGTGTGTGTGTGTGTGTGTGTGTAATATGTATATATATGTATATATACCTTATGTATATATATATATGTAATAATTCACGGTTTATTGAAAAAGCTTGGCAGCCAGAAGGCTGAAAATATACAGTTACATATTTGGGGAATGGGTTACGAATTACAAATAATATACAAGTAACATAAGTGACACAAATAAGATATATAATAACTAGATGGGGAAAAGCTCAAACTACAGTTCATTTCAACATAGTGACAGTGTAAGGAGCAGTGTTTACTGGGAGTGAATACACTGATTTATTACAAGTTATTGGTAATTTTTACAATGGTTGGGACTGGACTGTTCTTATAGCGATCAGTTCGTGCACGTATGGGCTGGATGCGGTTGTGGTGTCGAACAACGAATTCTCGGACTAGGGATCTCAGGGTGGTAGTAGGCCGGTGTCGGGGATAATTGTAGAAGCTTCTTACCAAATTTGCAGATGAGGTCGTGTGGTGATGGTCAGTGAGAGTCGAAAGAGTTATTATTATTGTGTGTGTGTGTAGACCCCGCCCCACTATCTGCAGGGGTTCTGAGAGGGAAGTAAAAAACAGTTCTATGGTGCAGGAAGGGTCAGGCTTCTACCACCTCTCTCTCTCTCTCTCTCTCTCTCAGGTAGCAGCAGCTGGGCCATCGCTATGATACAGTATCGACAGGTGGAGGAGTGACTGAGGAGCATTACATATGAGGCTTTCTGAACCTGGCGTGGAGGGGGAAGGTCACTTTCTTCGTATATTATCGCCTTTTTCCAACACTTTCTTCTGCTTTCTAGGGTCACTTATTTACTTCTTTACAAGGCACTTCTACAGGACACTTTCGTAAGACACTTTCACGAGCATGTTCTTGGCTTCAGATCATCATTTCCTCCTGAGCACTGCGCCAGTGGAGAGTGGGGGGGAGGGGGCGCTGGGGATGTAAGGGGTAGGGGGGGTGTTGGCGCCACTAGTGCATTGGGCCTGGGCCGTGTGTGTGTGTGTGTGTGTGTGTGTGTGTGTGTGTGTGTGAAGATAAGATATCAATTAAGATTACCGTGTTTGTCTGGTGGCTGGCTGTGTGGTCCTTCGTTGGTGGTTAAGTTTCTTGGTGTTGTGTGGTGGTTGTTGATGGTTAGTAGTGGTGGTAGTGATGGTTAGTAGTGGTGGTAGTGATGTTTAGTAGTTGTGTAGTAGTGATGGTTAGTAGTGGTGGTTGTTGATGGTTAGTAGTGGTGGTAGTGATGGTTAGTAGTGGTGGTAGTGATATGTGCATTACTAGGCTACTAATACTACTACTATTACTACATTTCAATATGGCCCCCAAACCTTCACCACCATTTTATTACCTAACTATCTTGATTCAATAATAACTACTGTAGCTGAGTTAGTTAAGCCGCAGATCTATGCAGCATTCAGTGTGTGTTGCCTCATAGTCAATAACTGTGACCGTTGTTGGCTTGGGGCCGAAGATCTCGTTCCCCTGAAGTTAAAGCAATGCAGACCTAAGGAGAGAGGACAGTCGACATCTCAACCAGGTTTAGGTTAGGTTAGGTTAGGGTAGGTGAGGTGAGGTTAGGTGAGGGTAGGTGAGGTGAGATGAGGTTAGGTTAGGTTAGGGTAGGCTAGGTGAGGTTAGGGTAGGGTAGGTTAGGTTAGGTTAGGTTAGGTTAGGTGAGGTTAGGTTAGGTTAGGTTAGGTTAAGTTAGGTCAATATATAATGGGGTCGTCCAGGGTTAATGAGCCTTTGTTGAGTGGGATAATGGAATACAGTAATATTGGTGATAATAACAACAATAATAATAACTAATAACAACAATAATACTAACGAGAGAGAGAGAGAGAGAGAGAGAGAACAACCACCACCAAAACATGTAACAAGGTACGCGCCGTCAGCACTCTATGATAACAGCTTTGAACAACATACAAATTTACGGTACTAGGCGGGTACATATACTAGGGATGATACTGCTAGTTTAGATAGTGAGGGCACGTGACACAGAGGTAGAGGAGAAAAATAATAGCTCTCTCTCTCTCTCTCTCTCTCCTTCTCTGTTTAGGAGTTAGACGAAAATGACTTCACAATCCTTAAGCTTGACCTCGATTATTGTGGGGGAGATGGGGTAATTTGTTGTAGTTTTGGGAGTTAATTGCTTGTTCCCCTCCAGGCTAACTACCGGAACTACTTTGTATAATAGCTAAAACTATCGTGTTTCTCGTTAGCCAGCAACCATTCTTCAATAACTAAGGTCTTTAAGCGTGTTTCCCCTTTAACATATACACTAGTTATTATTTGTATACTTGTATTGTTTGTATACCTGTACTGTGTTTACATTGTATACCTGCACTGTGTTTACATTGTATACCTGTACTCTATTTTTTACTGACATAGCTTGTGTGTGTGTGTGTATGTATGTACATGTATGTATGTATGTATGTACAGTGTGGGTCCTGACAAAAAACCCCACCGGACAAAAACCCCACCGGACAAAAACCCCACCGGACAAAACCCCCACCGGACAAAAACCCCACCTCTACCGGACAAAACCCCCATCTGTACTGTAACCTAACCTAACCTAACGTTAAATGCAATTTGTATGAAAAATAGAAACGATCTATCAAGCTTCCGACTGTACCCAGAGACTGCTGAAGGAAACCTGAACTAGTGACCAAGGTTTCTATAGTTCGCCTCATGGTCATTAAACAGACCTGAGGGACCTGAGAGTGTGTGGTCACGGGTCCCCTGAGGTCTCAAAAGGTGAGGACAGTAATGGTAAGGTCTAATATCATTGTGGATTTGTAAGAAAATTTTTGAAAACTTTAAAATAATTCTGTTTTATTTTTTTACTATGAGGGATTTTTATCCTGGGGTTTTTGTCCGGTGGGGTTTTTGTCCGTATAGTGTGTGTGTGTGTGTGTGTGTGTGTGTGTAACCCGATGACCTAGTGAGGCCCCGTGAGGCTCAGTGCTTCAGGGTTCTATTGTACGGGTGATGTATGGGGTGATTAAGTCGCTGGGGAGGTTAGTGAGGGAGGATGGGGAGGTTAATGAGGGTGGTGGGGAGGTTAGTGAGGGAGATGTGGCCGCGGGCAGACTGGAAGACGACCTGGGGAGAGTGTTTACTCTTCACTACTCCTACAATTCCCCTCATCTCATCCCTCCCCCCATGACCTTCTACCCTTCCCCTCCCCATCCCTACCCCTCTCCTCATCCCCTACCCCTCTCCTCATCCCCTACCCCTTCCCCTCATCCCCTCCCTCATCCCTACCCTCCCCTCATCCCCTACCCCTCCCCCCTCCTTCCAGAGCGCGGTATCATCATTAGTCCTTCTCTTGCTCACTGTAAATGCTGGATCATCTTAAGCTTAGTCTCCTCAGCTTATTTCGTCTTAAGGTTAGTCTCCTCAGCTTATTTCGTCTTAAGGTTAGTCTCCTCAGCTTATTCCGTCTTAGGTTAGTCTCCTCAGCTTATTCCGTCTTAAGGTTAGTCTCCTCAGCTTATTTCGTCTTAAGGTTAGTCTCCTCAACTTATTCCGTCTTAGGTTAGTCTCCTCAGCTTATTCCGTCTTAAGGTTAGTCACCTCAGCTTATTTCGTCTTAAGGTTAGTCTCCTCAGCTTATTTCGTCTTAAGGTTAGTCTCCTCAGCTTATTCCGTCTTAAGGTTAGTCTCCTCAGCTTATTCCGTCTTAGGTTAGTCTCCTCAGCTTATTTCGTCTTAAGGTTAGTCTCCTCAGCTTATTCCGTCTTAGGTTAGTCTCCTCAGCTTATTCCGTCTTAAGGTTAGTCTCCTCAGCTTATTTCGTCTTAAGGTTAGTCTCCTCAGCTTATTCCGTCTTAAGGTTAGTCTCCTCAGCTTATTCCGTCTTAAGGTTAGTCTCCTCAGCTTATTTCGTCTTAAGGTTAGTCTCCTCAGCTTATTCCGTCTTAAGGTTAGTCTCAGCTTATTCCGTCTTAAGGTTAGTCTCAGCTTATTTCGTCTTGGGTTAGTCTCCTCAGCTTATTTCGTCTTAAGGTTAGTCTCCTCAGCTTA